TCCCACCAAATATTAATTTTAAATATCAAATTTCAAATATTAACGATAGAAAATGGTTTTCCAGGGGGGAAATTCTTCCAGCCAAACAATGGAAAATGTGATAAGAATATAGTTTTCCATAGAAATCATTTTCCCCTAGAAAACAGTTTTAGTTTTCTGGGAACCAAACCGACCCTTCATGATGAAATAATTTTATTAAATTCTTTTTGCATGATATATCCAATGAAATCGTTTTTGTATTAGTGCGGAGTATATGATAAAATTTTTATTCAATTAAAAATTAAAGTTCGTCGCTTGTAAAAAGTCAAACTAGACGAATCCTCTAGGACAGAGGTAGTAAAAGATTTGAGCCATTTATTCTAACAATGAGATCTAGTATCACCTAATAAGAACTTGAAGGCAAGTAGGCAGCCCACACAACAAAATATCATGCCTTAGATAAATTAATAACCATGGTGGATTTTTTTTCACATTTGTTAAATACCTAAATATCTAGGTGCCGTTTGAAGTAGTTATTAAACCAAATAGCTTTATAGCTTATGGTACTAATGTCTAACATGTCAGCTTGCAGAAAAACAAAATTGACGTTGCCCTCAAATTCACTATTTGAAAAATTATTTAGAATGGATATTAACACTCCCTATGTTTTTTATATTCATTGTTTCCTCTTTCTTGGGTACCCAAAATGATCTCCTCATTCCTTTCAAGGAAAGCATTGTGAGGCTGATATGGTTTATCTCTCTTCTATATAAAGCTCAAACACACGTCGTGTAAAGTCAAATACTCAAATGAGAATATAAATGGGGATAGTTAAAAAAATCTATAAAGCCACAACTTCAGAGCTGCTTGTAAAAAAGGAGGCTTCCGTCTTTTATATCAGTTAGAATCTCATAGGTATAGTCTGTAGAAAGCATTTTTTCCCTTTTAAGTGATTAAGCACCCTTCAGTCATGTACCCCTTCCACGATTTACATGCTGATTCTACAATATCAAACATGTAATGGAATATCATTGTGAGAACAATCTCAACTCGTAGCCAGCCCCATTGATTTGGGTAAAAACCCTGATTGCTGTTAATTGTCATTGGTTTGATGATTGTTGTCTTATGATCTTTTTGATGCAAGTGAAAATTGCCTATATGATGACGGTCACGGTTTCAAATTTAGTCTCATTATTCCTTTGTAAGAAGGTTGCGACGAGAAGTCTGTTTGGCATATAACTTTGCCGCAATGCTTTTTTGCATGAATATATAGTGCTAACTAAATTAATTGACTTAAAATTTCATGTCGACAACCTCTACTAGTTGAAATTAAGATATTAGTGATAATGAGTGATTAGCCATTTGCCCAGCTTCTGCTTTTCTGGAGCAGAAGAACCCCAAAACAAGGAGAGTTGAGCAGGGGCAAGCTGGGGAACGTATCCTGGCATAGTCAAACCCCAAGAATTGAAAAGAGAAAAGGGGATATAATACATCGCAGATGGAAGCCAGAAAAGACAATGTTTCTGAGAAAGAAGAATCATAAAGAAAAGCTAAAAATCTAGAAATGTTAAGATAGAAATCCACACCTCGATCATTCCATTTTTTATGGAAGATATTGATACATCAATGAGAAAAAAATATGTTGGCGGCATTGGAGGCCTGACCATGTATTCAGCTGGAGCAATAAACTCCACACAGCCTGTGGTCAGTTCAGGGCGCTGATTCAAATCAATTCTTCTACCAGTGGCATCCAAGTGGGCAAAATAATCACCATGAACTGCATATGAAAACTTTGAATGGATGAGCAGGTGCATTTCCATAAAGCACACATACAAACACCTTAAATCAGTAAACAGAATCAGATAAACAGTACACAAACAACACCTTTGAAATTGCAAGCGTAGCAAATTCCATATTATTATGCAAAATGCATTCCAAATCAATTCAGCCTATAAGCTATATGGCAATGTAACATTTCCATTATTTGTAGCATAGGGTTGAGCCAAGTCCAGGTGTGATTTCAGCACCTAAAATTATCAAAGATAGAGTACTTCCGAAATTAAGTGCAGTTGTATTTTGATGCAAGGGCTTCAATCCCTAAGGCCCAACCGACTACCCAACTACCTCAGTCCTAGATCTCCAAATGCTCCTATCTAAGGTCATATCATTCATGGGTCTTCTGCGACAAGTCATGTCTAATCACCTCTCTCCAATTCTTCTTAAGTCTACCCCTTATCCCACCCTCGACCACTACAGTAAGCCTCTCACATCTCCGCACTAGGGCCTCAATGCTTCGCCACTTCACGTTCCCAAACCACCTCAACCAATTTTGACTCGATAGCCCTGCCAATGATGCAACATTCCTAGTACTTGGTCTTAGTCATGTTCATTATGAAGCCATAGGATTCGAGAGAGTGACGCCACAACTCCAACTTCTCATTGAGTCCCTCACGTGTCTCATTGATCAGCACAATATTGTCAACAAAAAGCATGCACCAAGGGACCTCCCCTTGGACACCCTGTGATTGAACATCCATCACCAAAGCAAACAAGGACTAAGGGCAGATCCCTAATGTAACCCCACCTCGACAAGGAAACCCCTCGGAGTCTTCACCCTAGTCCTTGCCATGTCATAGATATCTTGGATTGCACGAATGAACGCAATCAGGACCCTTCTAAACTCAAGAAACCTCCACAAAATCTCCTTTGGCACCCTATCGTTTGCCTTCTTGAAGTCAATAAACACCATGTTAAGATCCTTCTCAACCTTATATGCTTCCATCAACCTGTGCAAGAGGTGGATGGCCTCTGTGGTCTAGTTCTCCAAAATGCACACCTCCTTCGGCACCTAGCCTCTATGATATGCTCCCAAACTTTCATTGTGTGGCTAAGAAGTTTGATGCCTCTATAATTACCGACACTCGAGATATCACCCTTACCCTTGTATCCGCAGATTTCCAAAACTTTACTGGAGTCTCATTTGACCCCATGGCTCTCCCCCTTCTCATCTTGTGGATGGCCCTCGCCACCTCCTCTTCACTAGTGCACTAGCAACACCTAAAGTCCTAGTGTCTCTCCGACTACCCCAACTCACCCAACTCAAGCCTCCGATCTCCCCTCGCATTCAGAAGGCGATGGAAGTACTCCTCCCGCCAATAGGACATCTCTGCTCCTTTGAACATAACACTGACGTTGCTACTCTTTACACATCTCACATGCTCCAAGTATCGAGCCTTCCTCTCACGTACCTTTGCTAGCTGAAATAGCCTCTTATTGCCGCCTCGGTCTTCTTTGTCCTTGATAGAATTTGGGATGGAGTATGAGCAACTGAATTGAGTAATAAGACACTTGGGTTGAACCACATTAAAAGATTGAATCTAATCGATTAGTTAGTTCAACTCTAGAGCTTATATACCGATTATTTTACTCTTGGATTTCCGATGTGGGATGTAGTCTAACACTCCCCGTCAAGTGGGATGTAGCCATTTTGAATCTAATTGGCTGACCACTTGCAAATAAACTCCCATTACCTTGACTTTTTTTTTGAGCGCCAACACCTAAAGGACCACGAGCCGCTGGGTATGGACTTCCAGACGAGAAATCGTGTTAAACAGGCCACAGGCCGGGTTCAACCTCCATACGGACAACTGGGCTAAAGACTAACGGGCCGCTAGGGATGAACGTCTAGACGGACACCTTGACAAACGAGGTGGGCAAAAACTAGCTCCGGTACCATGATAGAATTTAGAATGGAGTATGGACAACTGGATTGGGTAATAAGACACTTGGGTTGAACCACATTAAAAGACTGAATCCAATCGATTAGTTAGTTCAACTCTAGAGCTTATATACCGATTATTTTACTCTTGGATTTCTGATGTGGCATCCAAAGGCTGCATTTTTTGCTCTTGTAACCTCTAACTTGGCTTCGTTTCTATGAATCTCTTAAAAACTACCTTCTTAGCTTCTACTTTACTTTGAACCACATCACTCCACCACCAGTCACCTCTATTTTGGCTCCTTTTACTCCTAGGAACACCTAATACATCCTGAGCAGCTTCTCTAATGCCGTTTGTAGTCGTATCTCACATGTCTATTGCCTCCTCGGAAAACTCCCATGCAGTTTTTTCTTGAGCCCTAGCAACAAACTCTAGAATATTCCCCCCATCCAAGCTCCCCAAGCATATATGTGGTGGACCACCTGCCTTCCGCATGTCACCAGTAACTTAGGTTGGGTGGTAAGTTCTCACTCAGGATTACTTTAGAAAAAAGTGGACATATTAAAAAATAATATACTGAGATTAGCTTCTCCAAGTCAAAAGATGAGTTTACCAAAGCATTTACAACATTGAGTGGGAAAGTTCCGTAACGTTTCAAAATGATTCATGATCTACAAAGTAAAAATAAAATTGCAAATATTGAGAGTGTAAATAATATACTCCCTTTGTCCCCAAAAGAATGTCAATGACGACCATTGACAGATCAAACAATTATCCTCTTTTTTGTCTAAATTTCACTAATCATTTGATAAAATAATAAAATAATGTCACATTTAGTTTTGTAAAACTTTTGATGTACTCCGTAGTATTTAAACATTCTGTATAAATTTTATTTTCTATTTCTAGACCAATTTTAAAATAAAATGAGCAGAAAATAGGTTCAGTCAAGCTTCGTTCGCAGTATAGTGTCATTCTTTTAAAGATGGAGGGATGGATATCTTACTAATCTCAGGACAATACTAGAGAAAAGTTACCATCATTCAGCAATTGGCATATGTTGCATCTCCATTTTCTTCCACTGTCACTAAACGTCACAAAAGGGTTTACATAAGTACGACACCTTCTGCAACGTATAATGCCAGTTGCAGTAAAATTGATCATTGGAACTTCTTCCTGGTGAGTAAATAATTTACATAGCAGGTGAGCCATAAAGAGACCAAACTCAGAGTATGAATTATCTGCAAATGTCTAGTAATTGAATACGAACCTCATCAGAAGCCTTAGCAAGGGGGCAAACAACTGCCCCAAGGGTCAAGTGCCACCTTGAAGCTAAGGACTGGGAATTAGGTATGCCACTGGTTGTCAACCGTAGATACCGGGAACTACAGTTCATGGGAAATAATTTTGATAAAGGGTTCTGCACATCACTTTCAAATGGCCTTGGTAATACTTTGGAATCAAGTCCTGTATCATATGACCCTGGAATAGACCCAATACAGAGAGAATTTAAATCCTCTGCTAAACCATGCACATTCGATATTGGAGGTGCAGATCCTGGATGCTGCAATTGTGGGGGTGGTCCTGGAACATAACCTCCTGGTGGAGGAGGAAATCCTACAGCTTGCCCAAATGTAGGCTGCGTCAATGGACTTGGTTGTGGGCTGGAACGCACTGAAAAACCAGGCTGAAAGGTTGGCCTCACATGTGGGTAAGATGATACTGGTGGATGTGAAGGCTGCAGCATATTTGTTCTGGGAAAAACATCTTCTTGAGACTGCTGCTGGAGAGGAAATGGAGGTGAAGAAGAAGAAGGCGGGAAATTTGGGAGTCCCCCAAATGAATTGTGTGGGGGTATCACTTGGGATGTTTGGAAGGGGCCTGCAATTGATGAAGACATTGGAGGTGGCCTGGCTGCATCACTGGCCACACCTGGTGCCATGGGTCTAAAACCATAGGGTGCTGTACTCGGTGGAGCAGCAAAGGGTGTTGAAGTAGGTCTTATAGGAAAACTTGGCTGATTGGGATTTTCAGTCGCCATTGGTTAAGGACAGCGTTCCTGTCAACAAACAGCCCGTGCCAGAGGTAAAACAATCAAATTACTCCACTATTTTAGCATGATAATGGCATTAAAATGCATGAAACACTTACAAGCTGAAGTGGCCGCACCTGGGAGAAATAGAGTGCAGGACACATTTAGGAGAACCCCGCCAGCTGTATCGTTGACCGGGGAGGGGATACGGGCACAGGCGCCAGGTTGAGTTAGAAGCAAAAGATGCGGAATTCGGGATTCATTTCCGGTAGGGGCGAAATGCAGAGAGAAGGGCGTCGTCTGGGTTGCGGTGCAGAAGAAGCCGGAAAAGGTGAAACCGACGACGGAAGGGAACTCCTCCACCGGGTGATGCGATGTGGTCGTCGATCTGTTTGGAGAGTGCAAGGAAATGTAGAAGAATGCCAACTATTCATTTTTTTTTCCAAAAAAATGGTACTCTTTATTTTTTTTTCCATAATGGTATTCAATTTTCTAAAATTTTGAATGTGTTTGGTGAGCAAAGAAGATATGGATTTTGATATGTACAGATATATTTGAATTCTTCTTGAATGTTTGGTGAAACCAGAAAAGATATCGAATTCGATATCTTCAGATATCATAAATCCTTCAAATGGAGGATTTTGATATATCCCAAATTTAGGAGATATCAATATGGGATTTGATATTTCTTTCAACCATTGATCATTCTCTGTCGCCGGCTACCATTATCACTCCCGACCACCTCCGTTTTCGGTCACCCATGATTATCACTAATTAAATCATGCCCCGGAGTAATTTAAAATCTTTCCAAACAAATTTGTTTCAGATTTCAAAACGCATATCATTTCTCTCTAATTTGATAACTCATATCTTATTATATCTCCAAAATTCACCAAACGAGCCCTTAAAGATGCCACTAATACTATGTTTAGTTCAATAAATTTGAGAGGAAAATAAAATTAGAAAGAAAATAATTTTCTTGTTTGGTTAGAGAAAAAAAAGAAAAATATGAGGAAAGAAAATGAAAAGAAAAAATGTACTAAGAAGAGAGAAAATCAAATTTCGCTCATTTTGGTGAGGAAACTAAGGGAAAGTCATTTCCTTTTCTTTTCTTTCCAAATTTTTTGAATCAAACATAATATAAAAGTTCCATTACTTTTTTAACTTTGGTTAGATAAAAGAGAGATTTTCAAGTCACGTGTTAACTTTTTCGAAAGATAACAAACAAAGTAAGAAATGTTTAAGCAATATACATTAAAAACGTTAGAATTTTGAAATGAAGGTATTATTTTTAATAATGAAAAATGATACAATACATATATTCTCTCTATCCCAAAATAATATTCTTGTTTTCTTTTTTGAGATGTCCCAAAAAAATTATGTTTTGGTTATATTCTCTCTATCCTAGATATATTGTAGAAGCACACAAAAATAATACTAGAGTAATAAAACTTTAGAAAATGTATATAATTAAAGAAAAAGAATAAAAATAATTATCTATTAATAAGCATTGTGATAATTTTAAAATACTGGAGTGGTTTTTTTCAATATTTTGAGAATTTAATGACATTAGTGAAAGAAAAGAATCGAGATTGGTAATCTTTTTACGAAATATAATATTTGAGTGACACTTTTAAATATTTTAAACACTTCAATAGCATTATTGGTAAACAATAAAAGGCAGTGACATTTTTGAAAGAAATAAATAATTTAGTGACATTCTCGTTACAGTGCTCTCAGTTTGGACATTAACTTGTTTTCCGACCTTTTAGCCACTCTTAATAGAAGGTTTTTTTTTCATTTTTTATAATGTCAATGGTAATCACGGATCTAGACCATATTTCGGACTTGAATCAGATAAAAAAGGACTGATTATTCAAGTGTGTGTTAGTTTCAAGGTGTTGAGCTTAGGGCTGAGCAACGGTCGGTTTCAATTTGAAACCAAAAAAACCGATTTTTTTAATTGGTTGAAAACCGAACCGAACCGATCATAAACTAAAACCGATCGAACCGAAACCGAAAACCGCCCATACAACAAAAAAACAACCGAAAAACCAAATTTTAATTACTTTCATTTTGACTTTTTAATATAAATTCAACAACAACAACAACAACAACCCAGTTAAATCACACAAGAGTAGGGTCTGGGGAGGGTGTATGTACGCAGACCTTACCCCTACTCAAAAGTAGAGAGGCTGTTTCCAAAGAGACCCCCAGCTCAACGTCGAAAGTTGCATTGCTTGACTAACTGCTACTTCATAAATTAAAGAAGCGCAGACAGTTAAGAGATCCATTTTGATTTATTCCATCACACCCCAAAGCCAAAAAATGGTGAAATTTTGGCTCCATCGGAGATGATGGAAAAAAATAATTCAATTAGTTTAGATTAAGACTTTTCTATTGCCATTGATTTAGTAAGATAGATTAATTTTTATTTGAATATACACTATCCATTTCATATAAAAATTGCACTTTTCTTATTAAATGTATAAAACATTAACAATAATTTTTTAGAAGTGAAACATTAAAGTTTTTCATGAAAGAGTAAGAAGAAAGCATGTGTGTTAACCAAATATTTCCTTATTTTAAAAAAAAAATAAATTAAAATAAAATCATTGGTTTTTTGTAAAAAAAAACCGAAAACCGACCGAAAAAACCAAAAAACCGAAAATACTTTTTTACATGAAAGCCGAAACCGAACTTTTGGTTATTTTGGTTTTTATTTTTTGGTTTCGCGGTCAGTCTGGTTAATTTGCTCACCCTAGTGTTGGCTCCTCTTTTGGCAAAAAAAAAACTCATATTTATTACTCCCTCCGTCCGGAAATGATGTTCCCATTGTACATTTTTTTCCGTCCGGAAATGATGTTCCCATTGTACTTATTTTTTCCCATTCTTCCAAAACTACCCTCTTCCTCCTTTCTTTCTCTTTTTTTTCTTCTCCTTCGGTTCTCTCCTTATCTTTTTCTTTTTCCCTTCTTTCTCCTCATTTTTCATTCTTCTTCTTCTCTCTGTCTCGGATCTCCATCTTCTTTTTCTTTTTCTTCTTCTTCTTCTTCCCCTACTCTTTTTTTGATCCACACAGGTCTGATCCCCCTCTTCGTCTTCTCGTTATCCTCCGCCTCTTCCTCTTCTTCTCATCATCCTCCACACCGATCCACACAGATTTCCTTTTTTCTTCTAGATCTAAACAGATCTGTAACAAATCACCCACCGCCTCTTACTCTTCTTCTTCCCTTCCTCGCAAATCTTTTCTATCTTCCAGATCTGCGATGGAGGGGAATGGCGGCGATGGAAAGACAGGATGTTGTGGTGGAGGCTGACGGCACTGTAGGTGTCGGTGGAGAAGGTAGGGTTGGCCGTGGTGGTGAGGGATGGCGGCGAGCGACGGACCGACGGTTGTGGTGGGGGGGTTGGCGGCGACTGGGAATTGGGAAAGAAGGTGGGGTGGTAAGAGATGCCGACGATGGTGGGCTGGTGGCTAGCGGAAATTGGGGTGTTCAGTGAGGGGTATTTTGGACCATTCCTCCCCATAGTAGACCACTCTTAAAAATGAGGAAAAGTCTAACCGGGAACATCATTCCCGGACGGAGGGAGTAGAAGTTTTACTTGGTAGAAACTTCTAATTTTAGAAAGAAATCACCCAAATAGAAGTAAAAGATAGCCTATATTGTCAAAATAAGAGTTCTATATTTGTTCTCAAAATAAGATTTTGCACTATAACATTATGATATTGCATAATGATATTTTCTTGTATTTTTTGGCATATATAGGGGTTGGTTCAGAAGAAAATATTCTTACTATGAGAATATAAAATTGGTGAATTTTTACATTGTTTTGTAGAAAATAATATGGTCATGTCACCTATTGTTTTGTAGAGTTTTTTATGTAGTTTTTAATATATAAAGTTTATTTTTTAATCTTGTCACAATTCTCTAATAAATTTCATTAAAAATCACTTCAATTAAAAAAACATCGTAAACCGAAGGAATAATTTAATTATAAAAGCAACATTGTATATATTTTTTAAAAGTATCCATCATTAATTTTATTTTAGAATTTCTGAAAAACATTATTATACAAATTTTAACATATATACATCTTTATATAAAGGATATATATAACACATACTGAGTATTATATAATTATCAGAAAATTAAAATAAAAAAATACATAAAGAGCATGTCAGCAATTCAAAATATATACGAGTCCATGCGAAGCACAAGGTTAACACTAGTAATACTTTAGGTAGTGTTTGGAAACTAGCATTTCATTTCAATTCATGCATTTCAATTCCAGGATTTGAAATCTTGAATTTCAAATGACAAGGGGAGGTGCATGGATTTCAAATTAAGCTTTGCTATAAATGAGAGGAATTTGACTCAAATCCAAATTCAAAATTTTTGAATTTCCCAAACATGAAATTTGAGTCAAATCCGGATTTGAAATCCAAATCCATGTTCCCAAACATGCCATAATTGGAATTGGAATTGAGGACTTCAATTCCAATTCTTGTGTTTGGTAGCACAAGTATTATGTGGATTTGGAATTGATAATGCAAAAACTAAATTGAAATGAGTGAATTCAATTCTATGGAATTGGATCCCATTGAATTCAAATTCCAATTCAATTCCAATTCCATCAATTCTGTATACCAAACAGACCCTAAGTTTCCCAAACGTGAAATTTAAGCCAAATCCGGATTTGAAATCCAATCCATGTTCCCAAACATACCATTGTAAATTCTCGTGTAAACTTTGGAGTATTTCTTAGTGCTACACTGCCACATAGTGAATTGCCAAAGTTTAGAAATCACACAAAATAAAACTAAAAAATAGAAAAAAATTCAAAATAAAAATTTATATTTTAATTCTCAAAATATGAGCGTGCACTGTGGTAATGTGATGGACTGTATACGTGTACATTACTATATTTTTCACTAATGTACATGATCATGTGTTAGCAATGTAAATGCATTTTAATTCCTATTTCGGATTAAGAATTAAACCGGGCCTCCGTGTGTACACACACCCTCCCCAGACCTACTGTAGTGGGATTCAATTGAATTACTGTTGTTGTTTCAGGAAAAAAAACATAGAGTTTTTATTTTGATATATTTTCAATGTTTTACTCATACTTTACTCTTTTACCTAGTAATTTTTTAATGTAGTACAATATGTTTTTATTTTTCCAATGCAGTACAACTGGTCATTGTCTAATAGTCATTGTTTAAGTAAATGTTCACTGTCATTGAACATTGTTCAAACTAATTAAATGCCCAACATCACTAGATATTGTTCCAGCTATTAGACATTATTCAAGTACTATTTAGAAAATAAAATAGTTTAAGTACTACATTGAGGAATGACATATGTTTTAATACTATTTAATGTAAATTTTACATTACTGATCACTAGTCACTACTCCGTATATGTTCCCTTCTTTGGGCTGGAAGGGGACTGATCCCTAATTTATGTTCTTTTTAACTTATTATTTTTATTTATTATTTTTTCTTATTGGAATTAGATCAGACCAGATCTGATTTATCAAATCATATCAGAAATAACTTTAAATATAATCATATTCAAATCAAATCAGAAAGAGAACAAACTAGAACTTATTCTAACCATATCTGAACCATTCAGATTAGGGTGAAAAGAACATGGCATAAGTACTCTGTTATTAACAAATTAGACACAGCTCAGTTGCCACTTGCCGCTAAGATGCCATTGAGATTTTAGGACATATATGGTGTTGCGCTAGTAAAATTTGTGATCTTTATTAACTCTAATCCTCCTAATTAACTTTATCCCATCATTTGAAATTTAGTCAACTTTGAAGTCAAAAAAACAACTACAAAGTCAACTAAATTTGAAAGTCCATTTGACGGAGTAGGGGATGGGTTCACGTTTATGCCAAGGTGAGAGGTTTTACTCAAGATTAGGTTAGATGAGTAAATTATCAATTTTTTGAATGAAAAAATTGAGGTGTTCAATGATTGTGCAGTGGCACTAGAACCTCTTCGTAATTAAGTAAATAGTAGCGTAAAAAAAATAAGTTATTATTGAAATGTGAGAGTTGGAGGAAGATAGTGAGGTTAGTAATTATTTTGTAAAAATTACCAGTAATGAAATACTTTATTTATACAATATAATTTTTTTATTCGAACTATTTATAATTTACATATATTATGTTTTAAACTATTATATTTTTAAATGTTAAATATGATATTTTTAAGATTGATACACGAACGAAATAAATAATTTAAAATAATTTTTTTTTGAAAACAGACAAAAAATTTAGATGATAAAAATTATGTTTGAGCTTATGAATATTTAAAAAAAAAAATTTATGAAATCCATGTGTGCATACACACACACACACTAGTATTGCTCTATGCGATGCACAGATTCAAGTCCCCAATTAAAATTTAGTGTTATACTCCCTCCATCCACAAATAAACTTTACATTACGCGTTACGATGTTTGACTGAAGTTTCAAATCATTTTATATGAAAAATGGTGTAGGATTGAAAAAATAAAAATTACATATTAAAAAACTATATCAAAAGATCTACAAAACTAGAGGTGACATGACTATATTATTTTATCAAATGGCTGACGAAAATAGGCCACCAAAGTGAATAAAGTTTGACCCTGTGAATAGTGAACGTAAAGTTTATTTGTGGACAAAGGGAGTATCTTAATATGAATTTGTCTCATGTCTTTGTTTTACGTGTCTTTGTTTCGTTTTGTTCAAAGTGTAGCATGTTGCTTTTGAGTTCGAAGTTTGTAATGTATTGTGATACTTAATCAATAAACTCAATTTATTACAATGTGTATTTATTTAAACAAATGTAGAGGTAGCATATAATTGTATTTTTACGCATATTTTTTGTTAGAATAATAGACCAACGCTAGAGGGGGGTGAATAGCATTTGATCAAGAAATCGCAGGAATAAAAAAATGAATAAACGAGATGTAAAGAGAAAAGAAAGAGGCACACCGATTTTACCCTGGTTCACCATAACTTGTGGCTAATCCAGCCTCCCGAGAGACTCTCGAGCTACACTACTATCTCGTTAAGCTTAACTGTGCTTAACAAACCCGTACAACTTGAGAATTCGAGTCACACGAACCTCAACGAACCTTCGAAGGAAACAGCCCTTCCTTCGAACAACAAGAGAAATACCTTCTCTTGTCAAGTGTCTAAGAACACTAAAAACACTCAAGAACAATACTCTCTTTTAGAGTGGATAATGAGTAAACTAAGACCGCTCAAGAGCACAACACAAGCTTCACAAAAATGGCTCTCAAAAAGCTATGAATAATTGAAGAATGATTTGCAATGAAAGAGTAGGAGTTGTGAAGTAATGTGATGTGTAAAACAGACCCAAACACCCCATTTTATAGTAGAAAAATAGGCTCCAACGGACCAAAGTATTTAAGGGGTGATTGGCACAATTTGTGGGATTTGATAAAATTTGGATCTGCTGAAATTCACCCAGACAGCGCTGTCCGAGGCTTGGACATCGCTGTTCTAGGCTTGCGTTTTGAAAAATGGGAAGCAACGGTCATGCCAACTGCGATGTCCAAAATCCCTACATCGCTGTTTTGGCTGTTGACTTCCAAACAAGGAAAGTTTTAGCCTTAAATTCCTTCCAACGGTCAGGTCCCTACATCGATGTTCCATACTAGAACATCGCTGTTTAGGTCTGCCTTTGGAGATGAAAGTTTGGCCTGACAGCGCTGTTGCTGGGTCAACATCGCTGTCCAAAAACTTTCTGCCAAAGCACTATATTTTGGCTTAGGTTGGACAGCGCTGTAGGGAAGCCTACATCGCTATTCCAGAAGTTTCTTGAAATCCAACCTTGGCTCAACAGCGATGTCTAATGTCCAACATCGCTGTTGGAAGACTTAACGCCAAACCATGGTTTTTAGCTACCCAAGCCAGACAGCGCTGTTGGTTAGACCAACATCGCTGTTGGGCTGGTTTTAGCCAGACCCATGGTTGGTTCAGTCATGCCGTTAGCCGATGTGAAAAAAGTAAGTTCTCCAAAGTAAAAACCAAGTATTGAAAACATTTGTTTATTGTATTCTGCTAAGAAATCATGTAAAACATTTTAAAAACCACTTCATTTAGTTGAAAACCACGGCTAATCAAGTTTGCACCGTTTCGCATGGTTTTCACTAAACGACCAAAAACGGAAAGTGGTTTTTGAAGCGTTTTGTTGGAGAACTATTTAAATATGCCCAGAAGTAAAAACCTGTCATAAAAAGTTGAAAACCACTTGGTTGGTTCGGATGTCAAAAACCAATGCCGAAAACCGAGAGCCGAACGCTGGTTTCTGAACACCGAACGCCGGATGGCTTGGTTTTTGGTTTGGGCGAACTCCAAGTGTTTTTAGTCAAGTTTAAAACTTAAGAAAAATATTTTTGAATATGCAAAAGATATTTTGGTGAGAGAAGCCTAGAGAGCCAAGATTTTGAGAGTTTGTGCCGGTCTTGATCACATTAAGACCGACTCAATACAATTCTAATTCTTCGTTCTTGATTCTGGGTTTTTGGTTCTCAAATCATCATGCCATGTTCCTTCGCCTTGGTTTTGCTCTCTTTAGCCTTGTTACGTCACGGTGGTTTTGCATTATCAAAACCTGTCATAAAAACGAACACAGTTTAGTACAACGTAGGCGTAAACCCGTGTTCCAACAATTTCCCTCTTTTTGATAATGGCAAACAAGACGGGGATATGCACACTAAGGGATATTTGATTTTTAAAAGAATTTGTTAAAAAAAATTCCCCCTTAATTTGTGCTTAAAAAATTTGTCGGATTTAAAATGAAACGGTCTCGTTGTTGGAGGCGTTCCCCCTTAGTATATGCATAGCCCTTTTCTCCCCCCTTTTGACATTAACAAAAAGATAGACAAGGTGATTTTATTTAATAAAGGAAATAGCGGAGTACAACGGAAGCAAGAATAAAAGACATGATTATTAAAGGAGAAGAGATAGAAAATCTAGGGGAGTCCTAGGCTTCGTCTTCGGTTTCCTCGTCGTCGTCGTCGACGTCCATCTCATCACCATCAATGGCATCGTCAAACTGATCCTCGTCCGGGGAGCTTGACTGGGAGAAGGACTCATCCTCTTCGTCTTCATCACCGTAGACTTCCCAGAGAAAGGTGCCGTGAAGTGGTGGAGGGACGTAGTTGATGCCTTGGAAGTACGCGTTCATGGCGTACCCTTGGCGTTGAACAGCCACGTCGAGCCGTTCAAGGTAGCTCCTCATCCCGTCAACTTTGAGGTGGAGCCAGTTGAGGGAGTCGGCGACGGAGGCGAGGTTGGCCCGGGCCAGGGGTTCGGCTGGGCCAGCGGTAGAGGCAGTGCGGCGTGGCGCGACAGTGGCAGGCGCGGCGTTGTCCGACCGCTTGATGAAGGTTTGGTTGCTGATTGTCCAAAGCTTCGTGGCCTTCGTGAGCGGGCCAACGGTGGTGGTTACCTTGAACCGTTCAAGGATGTCCATCACCAAAAACGGGTACAGGAGGAGGTGGTCGTGCTCGGTGGAGGTGGCGATCGTCATGTTGATCATGACAAATTTCGCCTAATTGATTGGGGCCGAGTGCATGACCGCGTGGATGAGCTTGAGGTCCTCACCGGACATGATTGTGTGGCCGTGCTTCCGGGGTTTGATGATCCGGGACACGATGTAGAGAACGTGACGGCCTTCGGGGTTGGTTGAGTGGATGGTGGGGCGGCCTGAGGCATGGCGTTTGAGCTCGGTGATGCCAAGCTCGTTGAGGATAAGGCCCTCGTTGTTGAGCACCCAATCTTCTCCGCCATAGTGGGAGACATCTTCGCCTTGGAAGGGGAGGCCGGCGATGCGCCCGAGGTGCTCCACGGTGAGCTCGATTGGCGTGCTCTTGACGAGCGATTAAAGCACGTCGTCCTCACGCCGGAGGTTGGAGTAGAAGGCCCGGATCAGCACCGGGTTGATCTCCTTTCGTGCCCGGGAGACGAACGGCCAAAGGCCGGCTTGATGAAGCTGCGCGTCGAGGTCGTCGTAGCCCTGCAACTCCGGGTAACGCTCCGGGATGATTCGTGGGGGAGCCACAACCCGTTTAGAGAAGAAGGGTAGAAATCGGGTGCGCTCCTCCTCGGAATCGAACCAGAGGTACGACCCATCGCCGTAGTAGAGGCGTTCCTCGGAGGTCGTGGATGGAGCCTGGGATTTGGACTTGGATTTTCCGGAAGTGTCTGCCCTGCTCTTGTCTTTCCCCATGGTGATGAAGAAATCTGAAAAAAAAAGTTGTAAAGGAGGAGAAATATGCAAGAGGAAGGGAGAGAATTGTGTTTGTGTGTGTAAAAAGGAAGAGAGGGGGTCCCAATTTATAGAGAAAGTGGTCTCCAACGTCTAGATTTTCAAAAATATGGCTGTTGGAGCAGTTAATGCTGCTGCCAACGGATATTTTTTTTGATAAAATTGACCTGAACAGCGATGTTCTACAGGCGACATCGCTGTTGGGCCTTTTACAGCGCTGTTCTGCGTCAAGTTTAAAAAATAGGAGACAAAATGACAGCGATGTTGGGTGCCCTACAGCGATGTTCCAAAAGTTTCTGGAATTGTGTAAGGGTGTGAACCCATTAGAACAGCGCTGTTGGGTTCTCTACATCGCTGTTTTGCGATAACGAAAAAAATTTTGTAAAAAAGGACATCGATGTTGAGAGTGGGACATCGCTGTTTAAAAAGTTACTGGTTTTGGTTGAAAACAAAATGTTTTGGGTAGACAGCGATGTTTTAAAAGGGGAACATCGATCTTCAAAAAGTTTCTGGAAAGTGAAGATTAAGGGACTCCCTGGGACAGCGATGTTTGCTTCTTGTACAGCGCTGTTGGCAGACTTTCTGGTTGACGGTGTTTCCCTCAACAGCGCTGTTTGGTCTCCTGGACAGCGCTGTTTGCATGGTTCCCCCTGATTTTAGGAACGGGGTACTTGCAAAAAAGAAAAAAATTCTCCGACGCTCAAGTTAGTAAACGTTTAATAAGTTTAGATGCACAATTTAGATCATCGTGGAGTCAAGGATTCCGAGTTCACTTCGAATGCGGAAGAATGACTCTTTCTCTAAAGGTTTTGTGAAAATGTCGGCTAATTGGTTGTGTGTTTCAACAAACTCAATTTCGACATCACCTTTGAGAACATGATCTCTAATGAAATGATGCCTAATGTCAATGTGTTTCGTCCTTGAGTGAAGAACGGGGTTCTTCGTCAAGCTTATGGCGCTAGTATTATCACAACGAAGAGGGACGTGATTGATACTAAGGCCATAGTCCACGAGTTGTTGCTTCATCCAAAGGATTTGAGCACAACAACTGCCGGCGGCTACATATTCCACTTCGGTTGTGGATAACGCAACACTGACTTGCTTTTTAATAAACCATGAGACTAGAGAGCTACCAAGTAAGTGGCAAGTCCCACTCGTACTTTTACGGTCTAATTTGCAACCGGCAAAATCCGAGTCGGAATAGCCAACGAGATGACAAGAAAAGCCTTTTGGATACCACAGTCCAACATTCACCGTGCCGGCAAGATATTTCATAATCCGTTTTACCGCCGTTAGGTGCGATTCCTTCGGACACAATTGATACCTTGCGCAAAGGCAAACGCTAAACATAATATCCGGCCTACTAGCAGTAAGATAAAGAAGGGAACCGATCATACCTCGATACTTTTTGACTTCTACTTCCTTACCTTTCTCGTCTTTGTCAAGATGGTCAGACGTGCTCATTGGGGTCGCTATGGCTTTGGCGTTGTCCATTTCAAATCGTTTTAGGAGCTCCTTGCAATACTTAGCTTGGCAAATGAACGTGCCATCTTTCATTTGCTTAACTTGGAGTCCCAAAAAGAACGTGAGCTCGCCCATCATTGACATTTCAAATTCGGTAGTCATTAGCGTTGAGAATTCCTTCCACAAAGACTCGTTAGTAGCACCGAATATAATGTCGTCTACATAAACTTGAACCAAAAGGATGTTATTGTTTTTACTCTTGATAAAAAGTGTAGTGTCTACCTTTCCCCTTTGGAAACCACTATCCAAAAGAAATTTGCTCAAACGTTCGTACCAAGCACGGGGTGCTTGTTTAAGACCGTAGAGCGCTTTCTTGGGTTTGAAGACATGGTTGGGAAACTCAAAGTCTTCAAACCCCGGGGGCTGGTCAACATACACTTCCTCTTGAATAAAACCATTGAGGAAGGCACTCTTAACATCCATTTGATAGAGTTTAAAATCCATAGACGAAGCAAAAGCAAGAAGTAAACGAATAGCTTCTAAACGTGCTACAGGTGCATAAGTTTCTTCAAAATCAATGCCTTCTTCTTGATTGTAGCCTTTAGCTACGAGCCTAGCTTTGTTTCTAGTGATTATTCCATTTTCATCAAGTTTGTTACGGAACACCCATTTCGTACCAATAATCGTACGATCATCGGGCCTTGGCACCAATTCCCAAACGTCATTCCGTTTGAATTGGTTTAGCTCCTCTTGCATAGCCAAGGTCCAATG